GCGGGGGGCGAGGTGGCAGGCCCCGCCAATGGGAGGCGCCGGGAGGGCGGTTCTCCGCCCGGGTGGGGTGGGGCGCGCGCTTCCCGCGCGCGGGCAGCGGGGGTTGAAGGCGCGAAGTGGCGCGCGGCTGCTGCAGGTGCTGCCGTGTGGGCGGGGCCCGCGCCGTGAGGCAGCCCAGCGGTGGCGGTTACGTCTGACCTGTCCTTTATTTCCACAGCGTCAACTGCTGTTGCAACCGTGGCCCTTCTTCTGATACCAGTGCAGTAGTATGAGGTAAAATTACAAGTGCCTTTTGCTCCCAACTGCTTATGGGTGAATCTCAGCCTGACAGTCAAAGTTTTTCTCTAAGAGCTGCTTGTTACATTCGGCACTGTTCACTGAACAGAGGCTTTCTGGGGTGATACAGAAGTTTCAGATACACAGATTTCCTTTCTTTGCTCTTTTTTTTGGCCACTACTTCCGCAACGCGGAACTGGATCTGAGACCATCACTTCTAGCAAAGATTGAAGGACACAGGTATTAAATCTATTCTTAATACATCAGTATGACCTGTAGTTTAAATGTCAGGAAAATGATGTATTAAGAGTTTGGTCTTCTATCTCTTTAATGTAGCCAAACATTAGGAAACAGTATGAGGCTCTAGTCCTGCAATAACAACAGTTTTGGCCAATGGTTAGACATCCCGCCAGAAGGATCAAAGCTTGAATTTTAAAACGTGAGAACATTCTTAAATTAGCCCCTTTACTTTTCTTTGGCATAGTCCTGAAATACATGCAGTGAACTACATTTATGTTGCTTCCCATTGCAGAACCTCTAATATAAGCTTACTTGTAATTTAATAGTTATGTGTTGATAGTATTAAATGCACAGTAACATAATTTGGTATGGTATGAAAAGAGATTACATAAATACCTGTACTTTGTACACTTGATAACCTTGTGTTCCGTACTCTCTTTCATGTTGTCTATACATCTCTCATACGCTAAAAAAGAAATATCTTAACAGAATATGGTTATAAAAGTACAAAATATGCTTTAAATATTTTTTTGAAGTTAGCTAAAATCCAAGCAGTCTGGGGAATCTCTACACAGTCTGTGAAATCCAGAAAAATACCAAACCTTACTTTAGTACCAAAAGTTGCACTAAAATGTTCAGACTATGGCTCTTTCAATTCCTTCTGTTATCAGTGGTTGAGAAAAATGTTCTTACAATTTTAAGATACATCAGCATTCTCCATCAAGTTTGAACTGTGTAAATTCAGGAATTTATTGTCAAAAATTTGTTATCACAAGGTAATGAAATTTGTTCCTTCCAATCCTGTGACAAACAGGGAGTTAGCTGTTTATAATTACAGTTAACATGCTTTATATGCCCTCATTTTTTAGGCCACGGATTTAATCAGGGAAATTTGTGAGGGGAACCTACAGCTGTGTCTTCCCTAGCAATTGACTCAGTAACATATACTTGCCTGCTGCCACCCCAGGTAGCAAGTTTATTCCTAAAGCTAAATCTGAGATTAAATTTACCTTGCATCAGATCTAGCAAGTGTGCAGCCACAGTGTGAGCTGGTTCAGTAAGGTGAGGCCAGTAAAGCCCATTCATTTCTTTTGGTGGGTTAACCTTTCATCAGATCAGTAGAAGCACTGTGGTATCTAGTCTATCTACCCCAGATGAGGCAAAATGTCAAACAGCACCCAAAGGTGCAGTTGAACAGCAGAATAAAGCAGTATAAATTAGCTGCAAGGAAAGCCGTCAGCTTCCTGAACTGATTTACTACACAGCCATGCTAGCACTGTGGTAAGAGAACAGGTCAGATCCTGCCAACAGGAGTGGAAAGGAGAGTGAGAATACAGGAAACCTAACTCAGACCAGCCTGAAGCATCCTGGGATCCATCCTCAGGATGCTCGGGGGGCAGTCTGTCACTCACATCACTGAAGCGGAGATCTCTGAACTGAAAAGACTCACTCACACTAATTGCACAGAATAAAAACACAGCTAAGGACCAAGCACAGAGATCTTTTCTTTTATACCTATTTGAATTGAACAAATATAGTTGCTTTGAGTTGCAAACATAAAAGAAGGCTTATAACAAGTGCCTTGCATGCTCCTTTTTCAGGGAAGGAGGGGAGTAATTTGAAGAGTGTCAATAGAATTTGTCCACTTTGAGGTCTCAGCTCATTTAAATGAGCAACAAAAGACACCTGGAGAATATCAGTAACAAAATAAATAGAGGCATTGGAATTAATCAATGCAGAAAAAATGGTTCAAATGCATGAAACTTTTCAGTGTAATGACTGCAAACTAAAATATTGGTCATACATATAAGCCTTAGTTACAGCAGGCAAAATTTTCAATTGTAAGAATGTGGAGATGAAGTATGGAGTTTATTTTAAAGACACAATGTTTAATCACTGGAAACAAACCCCCCGAGACTGAGATGTTCAAGACTTATCATGGATAAGCCTGTATGAGACTGCCTCACCTGAAGGAGTCCTAAAATGGTGAGGCTTCCTTTTCTACTTTTATGGCAAAGAGTACTGGAAATAGGTGGGTTTAGCAGAATTTAGAAATATTATCCAAGGCTACATAACCAGTTCTTCTTCACAAAAATAATTACTTCACTGGGTAGAACTATTAGTTATGAGATTATTATGATATGAATTTTTAGGAAATAAAGTCAAAAACAGATATTTAGGTCCCCTCCATTTGCTGAAAAAGTAAACAGAAAAAATAATTAGAGAATATGTGATTAAGGCATAGAAATGAGCTTAGCTGGAGCCTAATCTTGTACTTTTTACTATCTAAAAGTAGACGTTGCTTGTTCAGTACACGGAAAATACTGAAGAGGCAGACAAGAAAAAACAAAGGAATAAATCCCTCAGTAGTTCAAAATGAAACCAACCCAGTTTTCATAGGACTGTCACTGGAGAAAGAAAGAGGATTTACAATTAAGTCCCATGTTTCCAATGTGGTAATCAGATATTCTAAATAAATTTTATGTTCTAACTGAATAAGAAATACTTGAATAAGCTTTTCAGAAAGACTTAGAAATAGCTACTAAAAAAAAAAAAAAATTTTAGAAACTCCAGTCTCCTCCCATCCATCCCCTGGACAAAAGTATTTTTCTTTCATAGACCTTGCTCAAAAGTATTAAAATGCTTCCAAATTTAAAATTATTCATACACTTTTAAATTTTATTTTTAAAAACTATTCCTGAAAATACATCACAGTTTCATCCAGTAGGTCTATTTTTCACATTCAATATCCTACTCAATTATTTAGGGGGCACTTTTTACTGCTCTTTTTCTCTCAAAAGTGAATATGCTGGATTCTGCTTTATTCTGCCTAAGAACTGCTTAACTTTCATGACACAGCTCAAACCTATTTGAGTTCCTCAAATGTATCTCTTTTAGTAAAATTGAGATGTAAAACTCTGAATTTAAACATCCTTAACAGTATTAACATAACAAAGAACTGGCACCTGAGAAGATGCTTATTTGCTCACACAGTAAAACAATACAGGAAAGAAAAATGGCACATCTCTCCTCTCTTTTTTTTTTTTTAATACAGTGGATTTAGCTCTCCCACACGGACTTTTAAAGATAAAGATTCACTGTGATATTGGTTAGTTTTCCTTTAAGTGAAACTAAAGATCATATGAAAAAGTCTTATTTGTTGTCTCTTAATTAAGAATGACTATGTTGTGCAGATTTACCCACAAGGGCAAACATACAGATAATTCCAGAAACATGCATTCGTTCTGGCTGCAATACATACAAATCACACAAAGACATTAGTTCAAAACTTTTAATAAAATAAATTCAAATACATCTCATTCTCTGTCCATAGCTACATTGTTAAATATCAAAGAAATACATAGTTTTAAGAAACTGGGGAAAAAAAAAAAATGAGCCACAAAAGTTGGTATTGAATATGTAACTCAAAATCCAGTTTGTCTAATTTGTCAAAATGAAGGAAATCGATCTTACCATCCACCACTTAACATAACCATTACCAATTCTTAAAAGACAGTGCTAAAATATTTACAATAAATAAATAACTTACATAAAGTAAATGCCTTACAGTTTCCTGAATCAAGTGAGTAAAATCAGGAGTACCAATGCAAATCATGTATAAACAAATCTGGAAAATAATTCCCTCTACAAAAGGAATTGTAGGAGGAGGAAAACATGGAACAGTCTATTGCATACTATACTTTAGAAACGGTACATGTACACATCTACAGACTCCAATACAATCTTCATTTTCTTTTCTTGCGCAGAGGTGGAATATGGTCCATATGCTTAAATAAGTAAATGCAGCAGCATGCAGTCTTGTTTGTCACCATGTTTTAAGGTAGGGACAAACCTGTTTACACAAGCTAGTACTGGAAAATACATAAAATACTCAGCCTTCAATAAACTGAATTGAGAACATTCAGCTCCACAGAATAGGTACAGAAATGTCTTGTAAGATTAGGCCCATACTAACTGCCTTAAGGAGATCTTTTCTAGTACTTCTCACTCTAAGAGTTCCCCCTGGTTTTTTATGTGTAGATAGAGCAATTTTTAGAATAGAATGTATGCCAAGAAACTGGTTTCCAAATTGCAGGATTTCTAATACTGTTAAATACATCTTGTCATTATGTATTAAAATGGTTGAAGAGACTTTCATATGTACCAATCTGAAGATACATGCATTGTTCTTGCATACAGAAAACTTGTACAAAAAAAGAACAAAAAGATTTGTGGTCTGCTGAGTTCAGCTTCTACAGAGCTCGCAAGTATTTGAATATGAAAATCATTGCATTTTGTTCAAATCAGTTTATTCCATTTAATTTTTAAAGAAGAACAGATGTCTAACTACTAGCTTAAAAAGCAATATAACCATGTGTGTAACTCCTGGAATGGTGATAAAGCTAAATAACTAACAGCTTGAAACCCATATAAAATGTGGGTGTAATTTTAAAACTGTGTAATTCTTAACATTAATCTAATGAAGCCTAGAAGATCAAGTGCAAAAAAAATGTTTATAGCTAACTAATGTTTATTTTGATCTGTCTCCTGGTTTGACTCCAGGAAATCAACCACATTTTGGCAAATAAAAATGTCAGACAACAGCAGTTCCACAGTAACAGATAGCTTTTTTTAAAACTTCAAGTAATTTACTCACCAATATAATTTGAGGACTGATAATGTAGTTTTACAGGAAAGTCTTAAAAAAAAAAAATTAGTTGAGGTGCAAGAATTGTTTCATAAGTTCATATGTGGTAAAAGCCACAGCCTGGGAAGGAATACAACGAATATAATTTAGAGATAAACCACGGTACAATCCTCTTCGTATTCCATGTTGTTGATACACATATTTCAGTGTCTGCACCATTGTACTGGAAAAACAAGAACTCAAATCATTATTGGATACGTATACACAATAGGCAAAATCACTTTCTTCAAATACAAGACGCTTGGTTTACTTGGTTCTTAAGAGATCTATGGAGAAAAACCCATGGGACTCCATATAGCAAAGCATTATAGTCTTTTTTAGGATTCAGAAGACAAGTCTGAGCTTCTGCAAGAAATTTGGGTACAAGGGCTGGGAATTGGAAAGAGGACAGTGCAATCCCATCTGAAGAAGTTTCAGTCTGAAAATACCTGCCCTAAAAGACACAATAAGACATTTTACACCAGAATAGCTATGCATATTCTGTTGCCTATCTGGCAGGAAGGAGTTGAGAAGCATCAATTCTTCTTACAAATGTAACACAGAGTAACAGAAACATAATTTGCCCAATGTAGCACACACTTCTTGCATGAAAGATCAGTATTTAGGGCTTGTATCCCATTCTCTTTCTTTGAGCACAGGATCGTACCTGTCCTTCTAAAGCTGTGTACATAAATTTTATGTTTAGCTCTGTATTCTACATCCTGCATGTGCATAGCTTCCTCCACCATGACACAGGCCTAGTGTTTTCTCTCAAAAGAGAAATGCTAGGATTTGTGTAAGTATATAATATTTGACCTTATTAAAAGCAGAATTTGCAGTGTATATGCAAGGAGAATGATTTTCCTCACATACTTATATTGAAACTGAGCAAATGGACATTAAATGCAAAGCCCTTGAGTAAAAATCTGTAAGGTGCTCAGTATTTCCAAGCTATTAAAGACATTGCTCTTTGAGAACATCTTCCATATGCCTCAAAGCTTCAAGATTTCCTACTTTTTTATCCTCTCATCCTCGAAAGACATATATGTCTACTCTGCTTCAAGGCATAGCTCTCTCCAAACACGGTCACAACAATATTGTTAAACTGGGAAGCCCAGTGTCTGTAAAGATTGTTCTCACCAATGCAGAAAGTAAAACCCCAAGAACAATTAACACATTTTTGTTTTAAAAGTATCTGGAGTGGAAAATAGCCAAGCAAAAAAAAAAAAAAAACCAAAAAAAAAAACCCAAAACCAAAACTTAGGCTGCTAAGGAAAACAGAACAGCACAAAACTTTCACAGTAAGCAACATCTATGTTGTTTATGCAAGGTCACTAAGACAGACTACTGTTAGTAAGATCCAATTCACCATGCAGGAGGTTCACACTGCATCATGCTGGATTCAGACATACACAATTCTACAAGATTGAAAGTAACCAAGATAAAACTGTCCTGGAATTGAATTTGGTTGAGGAAATTTGAAATTCAGAAAGTTTTTCAAGATGAGAGCTGATTTAATACTATGATTTTAAGGATATTATGGTACTTCCACTTCTACTGGACTGAAGCATATAACTAAAAAACCTGGGAGGAACCCCAACTACGTGTGGGGTGTGGGACATTACTGTAAATGCAAGAAAGGTCAAATAAAACAGTATTATGTAAACTCATCTTATGGAATAGATTCTGCACCATTAAAAAACACTGAAGTAGTTCATTTCAGTAGAAGCATGCAGTCTCTCTCTTAGGGATCCCGCTGATATTAAAGAAAAACACCACAAGTTGAGTTAAAATACAAAAAATCCCTATATTACTAATACAGAGTATTAGTAACAAAAGTGCCATTGTGATTTCAGTTATTTTTTTTTAACCCCAGAGTGATAATGGCAGCTTTTGCCTGCGTGGAAACTTATTCATTAAAAGAATGAAGAAATCAACGACATAGTAGTTTGGGTTTGTTTTTTTTTTAAACTTTAAAACTAAGAATTTAACTTTGCTCAAACATCTGAGAAATCAGTTACTATGGATGAAAAGAAAATACTTACAGGCACTTTTCCGAGTCTGGGAGAACTGCTCCTAACTGCATTCGCCTACGAGTTACATCAAGGGGATATCTACAGAGGAGATATTTGAACAGCAGATCAACCAGATGTGTGACTACATGAATATTGTTTTAAAAAGAATACAAAGAAGTCCATGTGCCACCTCCAAGCTCCCTTTTCAGTGAGTCAGGAATCCGGCTCAGATTCTCAACACAGCTGAAAGTTCTCCAAAAAGGGAGACTTCCCCTATACAACCAAAACCAGCAAATCAGATCTCTTAATATATTCCATTTGGCACGAGTAAGGAAGACACGTGAAGATCAGATGAGAGTATAAAACAGTCTGTAAAACGCTGGAGGGAGAAGACACCTGAATCGAAAATAAAATTGACAGTTTAAGAATTAATAGAAAATGACATTTGTAATGCAGTGATTTAGTGAAAAATTGATGCCATATAAGTCCATTAAATTAATTTATTTTATGGACAAAATAAAATCTGGCAAGGACAGCATGAGAATGGAGAAAGCAGGCAAAGTAGTAAGAAAAATTAATGCCAAATACAATATCTAAGATTTTTCTTTTTTTAATTGTGTGGCTTCACAGGTTACATTGTTTTGAAAATATATTGGAATAAGAAAATTCTGCAAATTATGTTCATGGTCAAAATTTCATAGCTTACCAAATGAGATTCCAACTGATTTTAGGAGATTTGTCTGAATTTGTTTAATTGACTCAATGCGTGTATCTTTAAAGACCATGAAGATCAAACAGATATTTAGTAAATGAAACAATAGGAAATAACTGAATTCCAGTGTCTGATTAACCTGGCTTAAAAACCTTACTAATAACCAGACTTACATAAAATCATATTCTCAGATAAAAGTTTATTTAGAATGAAGAACTATATAGGAAAAAAAAAAAAACAAACAATACCCAAACTTACGATATCGTCTGAGCTATTGCTCCAGCTATGCCACCACACAGCAGATTTACATGTGTTTTCAAAACTAAGACATCGGGATTATCTAATGAAGGCCGTCCAAGCAAGTTTGGTGCTTGAGCAAGTCCAATGCTCTTTAAGGTACCAAAGGTAAAAAATGAAAAACCTAAAAGGAAATTTAATTTTATGTACTTTCACAAAAAAGCAAACTATTTGTTGATTCATCATCATCATAAACAAAAAGCTGCAATTACAAAATGAAACTATTTTCCAATTCCTTCAGAAGTTTTTCTTAAGCAGAAAGAAACAGACAAATAATATTTTGAACTTCCACAGTAACTTCTGTCCAAATGAATTGGTGTTTATAATTAACATTAAAAGAATGCTTTCAATAAGCTAGACCGTGGGTTTTAAATTACTGGATTGCTATTAAGTCGTAAGATCTTTTTAACTGAAGAACATCTCTCATCTTTTAAATATGAGTGTAGTTTAGCTGGGCAGTTCTGATGTTCCTCCATCCCACGTCACCCACTGCGTCACCCACTGCTTTAGCTCTTCACCCACTGCTTTAGCTCGTGTAAGTATTCACATAAAAGTCACCAGGAGATGGAGCCAATACAGACGCTGTAAGCCTCCGTCTGTACAGCGCTCTGCTCTCTCATGGATCTACCTGTTTAAGAGAAATATCCTACGTGCTTTCTTGTGGGAAAACTGGGAAGCAGAAGAGAAAGAACCACTGCTTTACCCCTCTCCCTCTCAACTCCAAGTTTCAGAAAAGCTAGGCTTTGCCTATTGAAGATGCTTTAACACACACTTATCAATTCTAGATTAAGATTGAAGAGTTGCAAATGCTTCTACTGGCCTCGCCTCTCCATTCAGTAAAAAACAGAATGCTTGATTTTAACAGAAGTTAATTAACCAGGTGTGCAAATATATTACGTAAATTTAGTAGCGCACATAACTGCTGAAGGACTGCCACGTTCTGTTTTTAACTTACCCGCATATGGCGCCATTCCTACAACAGTTGGCATCAGCCCTCTGTAGAACCCAGTAAAACCACCTTCCTTTGAAAGAAAGAGACAAGTACCTTTGTGGCAAGAAATACAACAAACGCCTTAACAAGTTATACGACTGTTCATACTGATTCATATGACAGCAACCTGACTAGCATCATCTAGCACCAAGGAGCTAATATCGAGTTCCATTTCTTGTGCCTGAAGAATTGAGGGGACAACTGCCTGGCTCCACAGGAGATAAAAGACGTGAAAATGAAGGAGAAAAATCTACATCCAACATCATAATCTAGCAGACATTTCTGCATTATACATATCCCTCCTCCCCAAATTTTTTTGTATCACTATTACTTGTTCTTGAAAAGCAACTTCTCTCTGCTTTGACCTCCCACTTACGTAAGTCTTGGCTACATCTTAGCAGCCTAAGTAGAAGGAAGCATCCAGATAATTTTTTTATATTAAAAAATTTAATGTGCACGCAATGAAGTCATGTTATTTTCCACCAAGCCACTATTTTCAATGCAGTGCAACATTCTTTAAAAAGAGCATATTTTGCTTTGACAGGACTGAAGATTAAAAGAAAAAAATACCTTTGTGTAAATCATCTTGAATGCATGGATAATTCCCATGTACTTGTGTTCCCCTTTTACTTGGAATGCCAGACGAACTCTAACCATATCAAGAGGGTAAGTACAAATCACTGCTGTAATACCTTTATTAAAAACAAAAACAAAACAAGCAAACAAAACTCACCTACACCTTATCTGATTCTAGGATTATTTTGAAAATTATAATTTCCTTTTGTGGCAGTGAATATAATAGCATATACAAATTATTTTGTTAAAGAAACACTTAGTCACTTATAATCAGCAAATAAGAACACTACCTTCAGCAACACACAAAGAATTTACGTTTATACTTGGTGTTCACTGAAGCTGCACACCTAGGCTTTGATTTTCCAAAGATTTATGGGCCTAACTGTATTTACATGAGCAATCTTATTTAAGTCCAAGGCTCATAAGCATCAGGCTAGTCAAGTGCATCAGCTTTACTGGATTGCAATCATGAAACCTAATCCTACCATATCTTAAAAAAAAAAAAAAAAAAAAAATCAAACCACAAAATTTACATGTTTAATTTCAAAAAGGTTGTGTCAGAATTTGATGTGATTGCTGGATATAGATACATGTATCTATCTACTGCATCATGAAAATACCAAATATATTCTAATGACATTTAAAATAAAGTCAGAATCATACTGATAAAGAGTACATAACAGCATTGCGTTACTGCATTTTAATAGTTTATGTTACACCAGCACTCTGACAAAAAAAGCTATTTCTCAACTTAAGATGCCAAAAAAACAAAATCTTAGTATTCATCCAGTTATGAACTGCTTCAAAACCGATTAGATGCTGACCAACTTGTAATTTTGGAAACAGAACTCCAGTACAGAGAACAACTCCTCTAACAGTTACCTGAATAACAAATTCTTTCCTACTGCTAGTTTTTGAGGTAAACCACTCAAATGCTGACAAATGATTTGGAGGGAATAGTTAAAACAGTTTACTAAAAACAGAGGTCATTTTCTGGTGGTATACCACTGTCACTAAAGAAAAAACAAACACTGGGAAAAGAAGAAAAAGAAAGCAAAAACCTTCATGATTGTCTTCTAGCAGCTGCTCTGATTTAGCTAAACAACACCCTTAAAAACGGGTCCTACAGAAGATAAGCACACTTTTTATGCTGGCAGGAAATTGCCACTTCCTCTTAGGTTTTAATAGTTTCTTAATGATATCTCTTTTTGTAGGTGTATCATTTCCCCTCCTTTCCACAAGGTCAAGAGAAAACCACAACAGGGAGGGGGGAAAAGAAAAACAAACCAACCAACCAACAAACAACAAAACCCAAACACAACACAACTCCAGCACACACTCTTCATAACCTTTATGTTTGGAAAGAAAAAAAAGCAACTTTAGTAAGCTGAATGATCTGACAGCAGATATCAGGATTAGATGGGAAAAAAAAAAATGAACACCCTAAGTGAGCTATCCAAAAAGCTGACACAGGTCAACTGTCAATTGAGAGTAAAGTTTGTGGCCTTCTGGAGTATCCTACCAGTAATTTATTTTAGAAGACAAAAACATCTAGTTCAGAGATTTTGGACGATTCCTCTGAACAAAAAGCAGACATCTGCACTTGATTTCTGATGTTATCTCACCCATAGGGTTCAAAAGTTGGAAGCTGCAAAACACCAAAGCAACTTTAGGACTGTTTCCACTGACCTACGTTATTAAATGCAATCCCTCAGACTACAGCCTTTTCCTAATAGATTGCCTGAGATGTCCAGAAATACTGTAAAATGGATGAATTCAAGCAGTTTAAAAAAAATTTTTTTTAAAAAAGGAAAAAAGCTTTTACAGAGCTTAAGAGTTCACAGGAAAGTCATCCCACTTCAGAAAACAGACTTTATCCCCCTTCTCTTTCCAATCATGCACTGACATGTATCCAGGAATATTCTCTGAACAAAGGCTAGCAAATAGACCAACCAAGAGCTCAGTGAATGCACTAACGAGTGAACGCATTCCAAAAATAGTACAACCGAAAAAAAAAAAATCGGAACTGAAAGAAACCATATGTAGTAAGGATTTAAATAGGTGTTTGGGGTTTGTTGTTTGTTTGTTTGTTTGTGGTTTTTTTACTTAAAATCCTCTAGCCATGAATTCTGGAAGAAAACATGATTTCTAACATCAGCCACAAAATATGCTTTCTTGAAGCAACTGGGAGAGGCATGTTACTGCTTACTGTTCATATAAGCAAAATGTACATACAAGGGATCAAGATTTCCTTTGGGGCTCAGAAGAGACACTATCCTTTCTGCAAAGAATGGTGGCCAGCTTTGGGACACAAAGTCATTGTGGTGAAATCTACAAAATTACTAATCTCATCTCTACTCCCTAAATATTATGACTTATCAGAAGTCAGACCACAACATCTTAAGGCTGATTACCTGTCTTGAGGAAGCAAAGTCTACCCAAGTAACAAGAGTTGAGCCAAAAATCTCTCCCACGGTTGGTTAAACAGGACAGAATTGCAAGTATCTCAACAGTTAAGAGATACATACTGCAATTCCCAGTATCTGACCTGAAATAATCATAATAGAGCAATGTAGCTCCTCCCTCCTTTAAGAAACCACTTCTTCAAAAACAGCAACCTACTACATTGCAAATGCTGACTCAGAAGTCAAGGAAGTCAGGGGAAGACCATTCTTCACTTACCACATTGTCCTCAAGCACCTTTGACCACTCTTGGGAACAAGATACTGGGTTACACAGACCTTTACTGAGACTTAGCGTCAATGAAGCACAACAGGAATTAGACTGTCCTTGATTTGCTTCCCAGGCTTTGGGAGTTAACAATGAGATTAGGTGGACAGAGATTTACCTCTGTCTCCCAATTTCCCTACTATTCCTACATTCTTAGTAATTTTCTTTCTTTGAAAAGTAAAAAAAAAAAATCTGGAGCAAGAAAAAAAAAAACATATCTGATAGGCAAGTTTTTATGACTTCTGTATCACGCTCTCTGTACTTTATCAATAACTACATAGATCAAATTAAGTATTACCAAGTGATTCAGAGGTATACAATTAATAAAGTGATAAGCACAAGTCATAACCTTGAACTGCAGAAGATATGCTCCTTTAGTTTATCAAGGAGGCATCTTCTGAACAAATCAAAGCTTCAGAAACTATACATACAGAGAAACAGCTGATGACAAAGAATATTTATCAGACAGGTTAAAGAACTCCCTGATTTACAAGTCCTAATATTTCTAGGCCTCCAATATATAATTCTGTTTCTTTCTGAACTGCACCTGAAGAAATAAGCAGCACAGATTCTTTTAAAATGTTGACTCAACTAGGTAACTGTTAATTACATACTATTTAAAATTGAGACAGCAGTATCCTCCTCAATCAGTACTGTTTTCCAATTGCTTTTACTAAAAGTAAAAAAGATAAAAACAAAAACATGCTTTCTGTATCAGTTTCATGGAACTTGAGTTTATTCTAGATAACATCTAGTCTTTTTCAGCTTTTTTTATTGTGAAGTTAATGAAGTGCAGGGGAGGAAATACACATTTCTGTGTTTTAATCCAGATTTTTCAATTAGAAAACTAAAACAATATTTAGATTTGCAAAATCATCCTGTGATACAGGTGTTATTTGATCATTTTGTTTCCTAAACCCCACTAACCTCTATGATTTCTCTATCTTCTCCCCAGCTCTGTCTTTCCTTAAAAGAAGTTATACACCATTTATCTGTTAATGAGGTGTTACAGCTGAAATTTGAATCACACAAGGCTCAGGAAATTCAGAGTTAAAGTTTCCACAGTAACTTTAACTTGGTCTCCTTAGATATATGCATTACAAAAGGTTTTTCTTTTCTCTCACTCCACTACCCCCATCCTCATGGCCTTGTTTTTCCCTGTGGATATGCTTTTGATCCTGTTTATCAGTTACAGAAGATACTCAAATGTTCCCCACCACTTCGAAGCTGATTCGGGTCTTTTGACTGCTGGTAATGTTGGAAACACTGACATAACCAAGACTGAAGTATCAGTAGCGTACACAGAAGTGAAAGCAGACAGCTGTGTGGCTAGATGGTGTAGAGGGGACAAAAAGGAAAGGGAAACAAGAGCTATCCATTTTCAACTGCATAATATTGGATTCCAGGAAACTGTGAAGACCCCTCTCCACCAACATTGGGGTGCATGCAGCTCACAGTCTTCTTTAGTCACTTAAACTTGGAAGAAAAAAAATAATATCCCTTATTGGAGCCAGCAAGAGACTAAGCCACAGGACTTAAAGCAAGAAATTACCAGTTGATTTTAAAAGTATTTTTTTATTTTGCTTGCAAGTCTAGAGAACTTAGAATCATAGAATGGTTTGGGTTGGAAGGGACCTTAAAGATCATCTGGTTCCAACCCCCCGCCATGGGCAGGAACACCTTCCACTAGACCAGGTTGCTCAAAAGCCCCATCCAACCTGGCCTCGAACACTTCCAGGGGTGGGGCATCCACAGCTTCTCTGGGCAACCTGTTCCAGGGCCTCACCACCCTCACAGTGAAGGATTTCTTCCTTATATCTAATCTCAATCTACCTTCTCTCAGTTTAAAGCCATTACCCCTTGTCCTATCACTACAGGCCCTCGTAAAAAGTCCCTCTCCAGCTTTCTTGTAGGCCCCCTTCAGGTACTGGAAGGCTGCTCTAAGGTCTCCCCGGAGCCTTCTCTTCTCCAGGCTGAACAAGCCCAACTCTCTCAGCCTGTCCTCATAGCAAAGGTGTTCCATCCCTCTGATCATTTTTGTGGCCCTCCTCTGGACCCACTCCAACAGGTCCATGTCCTTACGCTGGATGCCCCAGAGCTGAACACAGTACTCCAGGTGGGGTCTCATGAGAGCAAAGGGGCAGAATCACCTCCCTCCACCCGCTGGCCACGCTTCTTTTCATGCAGCCCGGGATACGGTTGGCTTTCTGGGCTGCAAACGCACATTGCTGGCTCACATTGGGCTTCCTATCAACCAACATCTGCAAGTCCTTCTCCTCTGGGCTTCTCTCAATCCATTCTCCACCCAGCCTGTATTTGTGCTTGGGATCGCCCAGACCCATGTGCAGGACCTTGCACTTGGCCTTGTTGAACTCCATGAGGTTTGCACAGGCCTGCCCGTCAAGGTCCCTCTGGATGTCATCCCTTCCCTCCAGCATGTCAACCTCACCACACAGCTTGGTATCGTCAGCAAACTTGCTGAGGGTGCACTCCATCCCACTGTCCATATTGCTGACAAAGATGTTAAACAGTGCAGTCCCTATACCGACCCCTGAGGAATGCCACTCATCACTGGTCTCCACTTGGACATGGAGCTGTTGACCGCAACTCTTTGAGTGCGACCATGCAGCCAATTCCTTATCCACCGAGTGAACTTCTGTATCAGATTTCAAACTCTATGCTCTTCTTAGCGCCTCCTTCCTCCCCTATATCTTCTTGGCGTACTCAATATAAACCATCCCCTCTTATTTATCCAATGAATATCCCAAAAAGCAGTTAATCCCACCAAGTAAACAAATAGTAAGACACTCACATGTGATACTATTACTATACCTGACTGCTATATTCATTTCACCACACACCTAAGTCTAGCTCATCTACTCAATTTTGTCGTTCTCAATACCGGACTACTGAGTATATCGTACTTAAATGCACCACACAAAGCATTTTATTTGATCATGATTTCCAGATGGTACTGTATATTAATTCTATTTCTGTTACACTAACTACACAAAACAGATTTAACCAGTAAGGTGCTTAAAACGATGCCAGATGCTATTAATTTATCTATGCAAAGAATTCCAGCATGTCCAACACTGACAGTTAAGCTGATTATTCAGTGTTTTCACAGTGCCTCACAAGTCAGGTTCCAGGTCTCTAACAAGGCTCCTGAAAAAGCTAATAATAAGCTTTTTTTTTTTTTTTTTTTTTTGGGGGGGGGGTGTTCTTTAGTACAGTTAAAGCCAGGGGGAAGACAGAAAAAAAAAGGGAAGAAAAAAAAATATATGGTTCTTTTCCACTTCTTTCAGATAGAAAGCCACCCAGGTTCTGGAACATATCATGCCAAATGGGTTTTGCTAGTTTTTAAGATCTCTGAATAGTTTCATTTCATTGTCTTTCCTTTTTGTCTGATGGCATGCAAAGCCAAAATACTTTCATGAGGTCCTCCTAGTTTAACTAAAGGTAGTTTTAACAAATCCCAGTACTTTTATTGCAAAAGCAGCTAAATATTAATACTCATTTCGTAACTATTTAAGGACTGTCACTAGACAGTATTAAGCCTGTTTTACAAAGTAAAAGCACACAAAGAACCACCTGAATTAAAAATCAGTCCACTATTACTTACCTTTCCCTGGTTTTTCTTAGCTACTTTTGGCTGAATGACTAGCAAGAGGAAAATAGAAATGTATAATCATACTATATACTGGCAGCTTACAAGTGGGGTTTTTCCGCTGCTATTGCACTAATTGATAAATGATGTTTTTTAACGTTCACACATATGCTCTCTAAAGAGTATCACGACAATCCTGTGTTGGATGTTAAGTATAGATGTTTCTGGCAAATCCAAAGAATCCACCCACTCAAGGAGCTGCAGTTCTCTATTTCTATGGGCTTATTCTCAACGTCGTAGCAATGGCATACAGGCCGATGAGACGATTCTACTAAAACCTGCATCTTTATACTTCATCTTGATGACACTGGATTTTTCATTTTTTAAAAGTCATAATAAACACTATAAAACTGTGCTTTACAACATAGCACAAAATTCAGTGCTTGAACAAATATATTTTAAAGAATAGTCTTAGACAAACAGTTTTCAATTAGGCAACTAGTTGCTACATTAACCATTTACTAGTATTTTTGCATAATACAAATTTGCAACAGTTTGACCTGAAAACACAACAAATCATCCTCTAAACAAATATTAACTTTTCAGCAAAAGGGATGTCTGAAATTCAAGTACAAAACTATACCTGCCATGGATCCAGCCATTAATCGATGCACATGCCCTGAAATCCCAAGTTGCTTCTTTATTACCTACAAAATACAGAACATTTACAATAGTCGTATATCAGAAAATACAGGGAAGTACATCACACAGTTTATTAGCACATTAATGCAAACTCTATAGCTGTTTCCAAGAAGTTTACAACACTACAAATTCGAACCAGAGCACTTAATTACTGTTAAAAGAATTTTCTGAACATTGCTGCTGTTACCAATTTCTTAGTAGGAACACAAAAGTGCTAAGATTCTACTAACAAGGCAGAACGATTAGTTGAAAGTATTTGTACCGTTTAGTTCAGAAACTAGATTAATTGTTTATTTAGTTATCTTTAATGTGTGTCAAACAAGGCAAACTGAATACTATCCTTGTTGCGTGATAGAGAGCAAAGGACACTGAGCAAAGTTGAAACGTGACACGTTTGAGAAGAGTAAATTTTTCTTCCATGCGCAGCCTGTGAAATGTACTCCTATAAAGATATTTTTAAGACTTTAACTGGATTTAAGGAAAAAAAAAAAAAAAAAAGAGAGAAGAGAGAAATTGGACAAGCATTTGAGAGCAAGAACTTCCAAAGTTACATTATGTCCTGGAAGGAAGTTAGAAACTAGTTTCCAGGCTTTTATCAAATAACTGAGACTATTTAAGAAGCAGTTATTGGTATAACGAAGATAATTTCCTATCTTCCTTCTTTAAGAATTGGAGGGTTTTTTTCCCCTTTTACACATTCCTGCAAAACATCTTGAATGTTTGTTGTCAATTAACAGATAAAAGAATCTGCTATGATGCTAAATGGTTTCTTGAAATTTGCAGATTCATAAATCATTTCATTATAAAGCATGGCATGGTCTTTTATTTAATACAACATGAAACAAGCATAGCTCAACAGCCTTTATGATTACACCACAAAAAAAGAACATATGAAACTCACTACAGTTACTTCTTTGCATCAGCCTTCTGAAATTTGCTCTTTAGGGAAGAGAACCACAATTTCAATCTCACTGTCTTCAGTAAAGATCACGCAATTTACTTCACTGGGTACTAAATCTGACCTTTCAAACACAGCATTCCTCATCACTAACCGTAAAATGGTATTTTTCACCACATATAAGCAATGTTTAAAAACATGTTCATGCTAACACCTGACCTCCAAAAGATGTTGCAGGGATTTATTATGTATTTATTACGAAAGAGTAAATGCATGAGAGCAGAAAGGAATCCACAAATCTTGGGGGGCCAAGCATTTTCTCTTCCAGGTAATTTTTATCTAGAGCCTGACAAAGTCATTTGTCAGGTCAAATATAACAGTCATATCCAGACAGACTTTCAAGTTTAGGTTGTTCCATCCGCCAAGTACTAAGAATCCCAACACAATATAAGAAAGAGGTTCCATTTTACATTTTGTTCCTACATTAGTCACAAAGGGCTACCTTCTAGCATTACAAATAGCACCAGACTTTAAATTACCTTTTTCTTTCATTAAAAAAAAAGTTACTCTCAACAATACAAAAGTACCAAAAAAAAAAATTTTTTTTCTGTAAGCAACACTGCAAACAGTTTCACTGTTGCCCTGGCATTTTTAATGGGTAGATTCAGATAAAATTAAGCAACCTTAGAAAAGACATGCAGCTAATTAATAATACGGAAAAGTTTCAGTGTTAGTTTCGATCACTTAAAGAATCTGTATTCATTGTAGGCAGAAAAAAAGAAAAGGAAAACAAAATAAATTTAACTACCTTTTTATATCGGTCAAATGCCATAAACTGAATTGCGCCATACGGAAAGATTCTAATCATCATTGCCCCGTTTCCTTTATACAGCCCAAGGTAACCTTCCTTTTTGGGGACAGCACACAATGTAGAAAACACTCCTGCCAGCAATACAAAAAGAAGTATTGAACAATTACACTGGGGGGAGGGGAAAAAAAAAAATCAAGCACATATTACTGACAATAAGAAAGTATGCATAGAACTAAGGCCAGATCATGTTGCTCATCTAACTATGGAGAGGGGAAAATCCACTTTCAATGCCCAAACATTGCCAGAAGCAGGAGGTTTAAGGTTAAGTTTTATCAGCCTTCTCACCTCCCAGACTTGGTGGACCTCTTTCTGAATTCATGCATTTCAGGCCCCGTGACTTGCCTGGACCGCAAGCAATCCTACTGCAGATCTATCTATCTATCCTCCCCCAGAAGCTAATACTAGCAACAGAAGGAAGGAAACTGGTCGACTTGTAATGCAGTCAATTCAAAATAAATAAATACTTAAAAATCTAAAACCACAGGAAAACAGTCTAATATTACTACATGCTGAATTACAGATTAAATGTCATCACTGAGGAAATGAAGTAAACAAGTTTAACACTCTCATTACTTACAACTTAAACATCTCACACTTCCTGTCCCAGAGTTGTTGCAATAAGAAGCAATCCTATTCCCTTTTAATAGGTGGGAAATAATGCAAGATCACACAAAGTCTGGGCAAAACCTACAGTTTTATTATAAACATATTATTAGTTACGCACAATTGCTATCGAATTGACTTTTTTTTTTAAAGGAATAAACTGTAACAGTTAAACAGTTTTCATTCATATGCAACTACTTAATAATATAAGAGCTGAACATGAAAAAGGCTTACACATTTATCTTACTTTCAGGCAGAAAAAGAGAGTAGTTGACAAACTTTCATTTGAAGTTTACATAAAGCAAGTATTAATTAGTTTCTGGGGTTCTAAGAATACAATATTAAATGTGTTTTTAAGATGTCACGATTATTAAATGCCTCTGAAAATACTTATGCCATGATTAGAATTTCTCTCTACCCTGGAATGATGAGTTACTGTTCTTATTTCTTAAAACACATGCTCCAAGATCCATGTGGCACAAACTCCATGGAGCCAGGGCAGTAAGAACATTTAGTGAGAACTTTGATGAACAAATCCATCGTGTCTCTGCACCGAAAGGTATCCCATCCACATAATTTTCTTTTTTGCCTACACGTAACAAGGGCACGCATTCAAGTCAGACACACTTCTAATAATCAGAATCCTATCTAACACCCTAAATAGGGAAGCGTATAAGAGTTTACATGCCAATTATGGCACAGTACAAAGCAAACGGAAACTAAGGATTTAAAACCTCAGTCAAACCAGTTATTTCAGCCTTCAATTCTTAGACTGCAGATTTGAGCGTATACTTATGTGACTGTGGTACCAAAATGCCACATTACTTGTGTTTCCCTTTTTGGTACAGTGAAGTGAATATATAGCCCTTGAACTTTGTTTCAAGATTTATTTTTCCAGCCTTTAAAAAAAAAAATTATCTTTAGTCTCGAAGTTAAAAATTCCAAAGTTTCATTACATGTAAACTTAACCAACTCCAATTTTCTTCTTTTTGACAACTGTAACACACTTAAATTTCAGAACATGAGTTATAACCTATTTCAAGAACATTATGACATAAAATGCCTCAAATACTATGCACAAGGGGGCACTGTTACAACCCCACAGAGAATGGTTCTGAACACGCCGACAACTGTGAGTTTATCCTCTCACCATGATGCAACGCAGACGCCGAATACAGACCACCTGCACCTTACGCCAAGCACAGATCCACTTCTAGCTTCAATTCACATCAACCACGCTGCAGGCTGCGAGCGTAAGTGCACGGGAGTCTTGCAGGGTTCGGCGGTCACTGTCTTGTAATCACCAGCCCCCGTGAGGGCTACCCCGGGCTCTGAACGGCACCGATTCCCACAGCCCCTGGAAACGGGCCATCACTGTGGCAGACTGCAGCAGTTACCAGGGGTGACAGTTTTTACACGAGTGATCCAAGCTTTGAACCTGTGATTACCAGTCTCCTGCTGGCTTCAGGAAGGGGAAGACCAAGCCTAGCTCTTATGTGCCTTATTAAGGATTATTCTGACATCTCAATCTCTAATACATCAACCAATACCGCAACTTACTCACACAGGGCTTTGTTTTTCTTTTTAAATACTAACAAAACATAGCAAAGAGACTAACCAGACCGATACAACCTTCTGTCTGATTAGCACCTTTTTTTATCGGCCACATCGTTGAATAAATCAACAAACCCAAACCATACGCATTGCATTTAAAACCAAAAATCAGACACGCAGCAGCCATCTTACCTAGATGTTTGTAATGGTGGTTATGAGCTTGCAGCAAAATCTTTACTCGATCCAGTGGTGCAGTAGTTGTTTTGGCACAACATCCTGCAACACCTTTCCAAGAGGGGAAAAACAAGAGTGACGGCATGCAAAAGTTCTTTATGTCAGCAGATATATAAAGGATTATTCTAACGTACTTTTAAATTGAATAGGTGAGGAGAAACTAATTAGGACCTCAAAAAAGCCCCGATGACAAATAAACAGCCACTATTACAAGTATGTTACAAAACCCTTAAAGCCGTAATGAAATGTGCAAGCTACTTTTCCAGATTACAAAAACCCAGGCCGCCGTCTCCCAGCTGCTGAAGTCACAGCAGAAGCTTTCAAAGAAAGTTACTCGGGAGTTTTCCGCCCTGCTTGCTCCCTCCCTGCTGCGGAGAACAGCCGTAGCTGCCCTCCCAGGGGAGCGGGCTACGCGCCCGCCGTGTACCCCGCGCTACTCCAGAGCGAGATCCAACAGCGAGCGCGGCCTGACGTGAAAACTTTAAATAACCAAAACATCCTCCTAGCCCCTTGCAAGCCAGACTGCTGGGATGACACCCTATAGGAAGAAAAAATAGGCTTTTTCTCTAAGAGGTTAATAACGTGGGGCTGCGTTTGCTAGGCTGCCGCCGCCTCGCACCACCTTCATCTTCACAACAGCCGCCGCGGCAGCGCCGGGAGGCGGACACCCCGCCGCCCCCGAGCACCCTAGCGAGGCTTCGGGCTCCTGGAACACTGAGCTGGCGACGGCTCGGGGCTCCTCGCCGGTTCTGACACACGTGCGAGTCACTCGCCCGTAGCGAGTCACCTGCGCTGGCGCATGAGGGGAAGGAAGGGGAAAGAAAGAGAGGGCCCCGCTTCCCCCGCCGACGGCTGCGGCGGGCTCCCCGGGGGGGCCGCGGGCG